AAAATCCTGGGCACAGGTGTGCTGGAGGATGTTTTTGCTTGTGTTCCTGTCTGGTGTTTAACTGCTGTGCTCCTTTCCCTTGCCTTTTCCAATAAATTTGCTGGACTTTGCACTGCAGAAGAGCCTCCCCTCTCTCCTTTACTCAGTCCTTGTTGCTCCTTCAAGGAGTCTCTGCAGCTGGGCATCTTGCTCAGAGGCTGTCGCTCAGGCAGGACCCCAGCCTGGCCAGTTCCCACTCTTGCCACTGGCCCTGGGGCATCACAGAACTAGTCTGGGCTATGGAGGACAGTGGCAGCAGAACTCCTCCAGTTAGAACACAACCTGCAGAAACAGCCGAGCTTTTCAAAGACAAGTTTGGTCTTTGACCAAACCCTGTGCATCTTGTAAAACTTGACAGGATCATGTTGAAAAGGCTTTAATGCAGGATTTTGTGGAAGTGACCATTGACTTCAGAATATTCACAGACATGTGAGGTAGGTTGGCTGACTTCTGTCAGGAGATATGTCCTGGAGGCATTGCTAGAGATATTTCTTCTTGTGGAAACAGACATGAACATTGAAGATTAATTTGTAGTCCAGTTTTTTTTTCTAGATTATCTCTTACTTTTATCATGAGCTTGACATCTTTCATATGGTCTTCATAAATTTATACTGCACAGTTAAAGTTCTTTGAAGAGTTTAAAGCAGAATTGAAATATTTTAAAGGACTTTATAATGACACATTGGAAGCACAGAAAATCCCTTGATAGCCTAAATGTATGGAAACATTCTAGAGTACAAATGAGTTAGAGATTAATTCATGGCACCTTGTGCAAGCTTGGGGAATTCTATGTGTTTGAAATAGTTCCATAGTACAAGCAATCTGCTGGACAGTAAAAATGTCCTCTCAGCCCATCCTCACTTCCCAAAATGAGTGTTTAGGGGAAGGAATCTTTCTTCCTTTGCTGTCTTCCCCATTGCAGCCTTTTTATTGTCAAAGAGGTTGAAGAAGTTGTAGGACAATCCTCTGTATACTGAAAGTTATGGATAACATGTCATAATAAGAATTCAGAACCAGGAAAAAGACTGGTTCACATTTAAGAGATTGTAGGCTAAAAAATGGCTAAATGCAGCTAGCTATAGAAGGAAGGTTTAGGTTTATGCATCTGCTGGGACAAGTGACCAAAATGCCCAAAATGTCCCATGGTAGTTAGAATCAGGAAAACATTTCCTTAGATGCCAAATTGAAATTAAATCAGGACTTGGAAGCAGGTTTGCATCTTTTGTTTGAAAGAACAGCTTGAACTAAACAGGGTATTTTTAGAATCAAAAAGAACCTCTATATGGTGTCATTACTGGAGAATCTTCAACTGTCCTCCACTCTACTTTTTATTTCTAAGAGAAAGGACAGCAGGACTGGGGATTCTGGGACCATTCAGATGTCTCCTCTTCCTCCAAATCATTAGCAAAAGCTGAAACTGGTATTTTCCTCAGGGAATAATCTTTTTATTTATGTATTTTTTACTACATCTGTAGAAGAACTCTGTGAAATAGCTTTTACCTTTCCCAGTACTCCCTTTGATTGAAACCAATTACATCCTCTTGCAGAGACTCGAGGCTGAGAAAGTCCATGTGCTACTGAGTTTTGGCACATTGTGATGGGTTCACTTTTGTGGTGGGTTAGTTTTGACAAACACCCAAATTTCCATCCAGCTGCTCACTCATAACCCTTCTCCACGAGGCCTAGGAGAAAATAGGATAAGAAAGCTCATTGGTCAACATAAAGACAGGGAAATTGCTCACCAATTACTGTTGTAGGCAATACAAGCTTGACTTGGAGAAAGTTAATTTAATTTATTGCCAATTAGAATAGAATCTAGCAGTAAGACACAAGCAGATACAAAGATATATCCTCCCATCCCCTTCTCTTCTCTCCCCTCCCTTCTTCTCTCCAGACTCCTGTACATGGTCCCCAAGTGGTGTCAGAGGGCAGTTAGTGGCAGAACCCAGAGGTTTGGTGATTTCTCTCTCCTGCTCTTTTCCTCTCACACTTTTCCTGTGCTTTCATGCAGATTCTCCTTCCTGTCTTCAGTATCTCGGGAAATATCTATTTCTTCCTGGGCTCTTCATGGGCTGCAGTTCCTTCAGTTGTACCTGCTCCTACTCTGACCTTGATGTTCCCTCTGGTGTTTCTCATTGCTTTTAGTTCTCCTCTCTCTGTGTTACCTTATCACAGAGGCACATTCTGAACTTGTCTGTGTCCTGCAGTGGGTCTGGTGGAACCAGCTAGAGCTGGCTGTGTCTGCCATGGGTCATCTCCTCATCTCTTGGATCAGACTCATCTCTGTAATCCTGTCTTTGCCAACAACTTGCTGTGGATCCTCAACAAAACTTTGAAGTTAGGAAAGTGAGGCAAATGTTTGTCTGTTCTTGCCAGTTAGCTTTGGAAAATGAACAGTTTTGCTCACTACACTGTGGCTATACTTCTCTGTGACAAGACTTTATGGTAAACAGGAGAGCTTTTTGTTCTATTGGTAACTAGATCTAATTGTTTTAACTGTCCCGTTCAATTCAAAGCATGCAGTGACTCACCCAGCCTGCACCCCTTGTCTTGCTGTGTTCCAGGAGAGCTTTTGTTAGTCCTGCAGCTATGGGGATTTGGGCAGGTGGAACATAGCTGGACTTCTTGGCGTTCCTATCTGAAAGCGCTCCCTGCTTTTCCTACTTAAAAAAAATATAGAACTCTTTCCTAAAACAGTGTTGCCAAGCACCTTTGGGTGATTGTTTTAGATTCTTCATGAATACCACTTTCTGACCACTAACCTTCTACCGAGACTGTGCTGGATTTATTTGAGCTATGGGAGAACAACTGGCAGACAGCTGATGAAAGAGTTGCTGTGAGGTGGGCATAGGAGCTACTGCCTCACCATTTTCTTTGTGAAGACTAAAGGTGCAAGGGTGTCAATCATCTTCTATGTAAAGGTCTGAAAAGGCTCTCAGAGCTCAGTATTTTTAGCTCTTTAACAGATTATCTCTTTTATTTTTAGAGGTAACAGTAGCTCTTAGGTTAAGAGAGAGACAAAAGCTTCATTAGTTTTGGAATTTCAAATGAACACAGTATGGGATTGAGAAGATTTTTTTTTCCACAGGAACCTGAAGAGTGGTTTAAAGGATGTTGTGAAAAAGAAGGGAAAACCTCCAACTGAGGGGGTCTCTGTGCTCACAATATACATACAATAGGAGATATTTGTTGAAATATTTTCTTTTTTCTGTAGTGGGGATTTTGCTGAGGGAATGTCATCTCTTTACTCTCCTCCACACTCCTTCTGTTCTGTTTTTTATGCTTACCTCATCCAGGTTTTTGTTGTTGTTGTTGTTATTTATTTTGAGGGCTATTCAGGGTGTTATTTGTTTGAGTTCCCCCTCTAGCATGTGATAAATTCAACCACTTTTCTTACAGATTCCTTGCATCAGGAAACTGGATCTCTACCATGATAGTGTTTGGGAATGGAAGCACTTTTTTTTTTTTGTTGTTGAAGACTTTGTGTTAAAACTCAACTTTTGAAGAAGATCACTGATGCAAGATGCTCATCCAGCAGATCCTGAGTGTATCAATAAATTAAGTGGCAGCTCGAAGAGAGAACACTTGGGACAGAGAGGACCAGGCACTTTGGTGTCTACTCAGGAGCATTGCACTTCCATGTGGCATTTTGCTTTTTTGTCTGGGGAATGCTTTTCGCAGGAGCTCCATCTGCTTAGTTTGCCATAACTGAATTACTGCTGAAATCTTCTTCTTTTGTACTTTCTATAACGTGCAAAAGAAAAAGAAAGGAAGCATAAAAACGTATATTAGAATTACACTGAGCACATTTCTTTTGAAACTATAATTTATAAAAATGAGTACATTTGATTTTGCAATTATAAATTATGAAATAAATGCATTAGTTAAGAAGTGAAGCTTTCAAAGGTGCTAATTATTAACCAAATGCATTTACAGTGTTTTAATGACCACTTTTTCACAGTGTGTTAATATCCATTAGCTATATTCATATACTAGTAATGCTAATATTATGCAAAGCCATTAGTTAGCTTCAAAGTCAATAATGGATGATACTGATTCCAAGCCTCCACTGCATTAAAAGATATATACTTTTTGGGGTTTTTTTTTTTTGGTTTTTTTTTGTTTTTTTTGATAGAGTGTGAAATTTAACCTGAGTTTTCATTTGGATATTGTCAATGAATCTGTTTCTGCAGATTACATAGGTGGATGTGGAGTCAGTTCTTGAGAGCCGATGGACAAAAATACTGATCTGCCTCTGTCTACTCAAAAGCAGAAATTGGGTTCAAAATAAACTGCCCTGCCTTCAGAGGAGGGCTTTGAATATATCTCTTTATGGACTTTATCTCAGCTGCCTTGTAGATAGAACTCCTTCACTAGTAATTTCTCATTAAGAAGTTTTAGCAACACTTCTTAGACAAGATGTTTTTAAGGAAAACTCTGGAATATTTCATTCACTACATTATCTGAATGGATTTTCAGATAGTTGAACCTGTTATTCTTCCTTTCAAAAACATTCACTGTTATTTTGTCAAATATCTCTCTAATATGTAATCATTGTTCGGGTGGTGGATTGAACTAGGAATGGTTATGTATGTGCTGCATTTTGCTCCTTGCTTTAGCAAAACTTGAAAGTCAAATATTTTATGATACTGATATCAGGAGATTTTTATGCTGCTAGTAAAATGTGTGCATTGTTTTAGAGGCTGGATTGTAAAACTAACCACATATCTTGTAAATCGACAAACAGAAAGAAGAAAACTCAGTGGTTGTCTCAAATATTAAGTATACAGATTTTAGTAATAGGGTATCTATGTTTAATTTTTAATTTATTTAGCCAAAATATCTATTCTCACTTAAGGCTTACAAGATGCAAATATTCAAAAAATCTTTAATACAGAACATATACACAGAGATTTGACTTTCAGTTTGGTATCTTTCATCTGCTTCATCTTCTTTTGCAGGGCATTGACTTCTGGGAATAAACTGCTCTCAGCTGAAAAATGAACCCTTAGCCCATGTGTTCATGGAATGGATTGAGTTCATTGTGGTGCTGATTTACTGTAACTAGATGCAAGATTGATGCATCCAGGAGAAACCATTCCACGTATCTCATCTGTCTCTGGAACTGCCCCTTTAATCTCTTTACTAGATTTGATTGTTCTCTAACAAACCAGCAGATACCTCTAGAGCAGGTGAGATTTTTCTTTCTGTGAAAGACTCAGATCGGATGAGCAGAGTTATTGTGGACAGGACAGATTAAAATGTCTCAACTTGGTGTTAGCATCAGCAGAAATGGGTTTGGGGAAAAACTCCTTTGTCTTCTTATTCTTGCACAGACGACAGGAAAAATGGAGTGGAGGGTAAGAGCCCATGATGTATCCTCCTCTTGTGGTCCCAATGCTCTGTTCCTTTGTTCTCCTTCAGGCTGTGATGTGAAGACTGACTCATGGTGGGACTTTTGCTGAGGTGTGGATTTGGGGCTAGGAGGTCCCGTAAAGAAAATAAAAGCATTATGCAGCACAGTTTGAAAGTTGATGGCCAATACAGCTCTGTGAATGATCATGGAGTGATTCCTCGCCAAAGTGAACTAAATCAGAAGTAACTCCATTAAAGCAGGCAGATTAAAACCTTTTTGGAGGAGATTAGAAGTGGCCCCTGTGTGGGAAAACACAAAGTACTTCAGATAATTGTGTGGAGAGCAGGGAGCAGAAAAAAAATAATATCCTGACAGAAATCTTGATAACCTGGAAAATTTGGTGAAATGTAAACATCCTTTTTTGAAAAAACAAAAAAGACTCCAGACAATCTCTTGACATTTAAGGAAGACTTGATCTCCTAATAAAAAAAACCTAACATATCTGAATAAAGCTTGTGGAGGTTCCTTAGGGAAGGAAGAGCATGCATAAGACCAATCCTTCTTTGGTGCTGGGGAGGAAGGGACTGCAGGCTTGGGAGGAATCACACAGAAGAACAATTACAACTTTTTATTTCATCCAGTGAAGTCAGTGGCCTGGACTTAGCTCCACTGATCAGAGGACACTTCTAATAACACCAAGGCTGTGGGTTCAATCCCTGTATAGGCCATTTACTGAAGAGTTGGGCTTGATGATACTCTTGACCTCCTTCCAACTCAGAATATTCTGTGAATCTGTGAAAAATTTATTCATAAAAAATGCTCCTACAGAAAAAGGAAGATGAGCTATTAATCTCCTATAGATCAAGGAAACACTTTGGAAACAGAAGGCAAGTTTCCTGGGGTTTGGATTCTAGGAACAAATTCCCCTTTCG